AAACGACGACGACGACGACGACGACGAGTCAAGTTCTTCGTTGTACGAAGAAAACACGTACATCGCGCACCGCAACGAATCGCAATTCGACCGAGACAACGGACGAGCGAACCGGAAAGCTACAAACTCTGATTTTTCGTTGCAGGTGAGTCGGTATCTCGACGCTCCGGACATAATCACGGGGAACACGACACCGATAGATCCCGCGACGAAACAAAGGCTACTGCGGCATTTGGACAGTTGCGCGTCGGAATTAGACTTGGATCTGGGTTCGAGGCCGGACAGCGGATTAGGCAGCAGTCCCGGAAGCGTGACGGATCGAGCGACAGGTTCGGCAAGTCCCGGTCCGTTGGAGCATCACGCGCCATCGAGCGCACACCGTAGCACGAGCTCGAACCATCCGGTCGGCTCGATAAAAGCGGAAATCCCGGACAGTATCGAGCCGACTCGACCGGACAGCAGTACCACCGCCGGCGATGAAAACAACAACAGCAACGGCAGTAGCAACGGCAACAGCCGGCCAACTTGCGCTTTCGGTCAAGCGAACCCGGCGACGAGTCTCGATTCTCATCGTCACGCACCTCCGCCGCCGCCGCCGCCGCCGCTGCCGCCGCCTCCTCCTGCCGGTATATCGGTCATCGATCAGGCGTCGACGAGTTCGCAACAAAACCCAAACATGCTGTCGGTCGTGCAAGTGATACCATCCCGATTGCCCGACGGTCAAGTAGTTTTTCTTCTTCCCAGTCATTACGTTCAGCTGGCAGCCGCGGCTGCGGCGAACGGTATCAGTATCGGGCCGAATCCACCGACGGCAATATGGGCCGCGACCAACATGTCCTTTCTCAAAGCGACGGATAAATTGGCCGCGAAACGGCCGCACGAGGACACGATCGCTCGGGAATGGCAGGACGCGGCGACCGTTGCCGTGAACGCCGCTGCCGCTGCCGTTGCCGCTACCGTTGCCGCTGCCGCTACGTCCGGCAACGCTTCCGTTTCCGCTTCCATTTCCGCTTCCGCCCCCGTTTCTACCTTTGCCGCGAATGCCACGATCGGTTCGGCCAAGCCGAGCAACAAGAGTCCGCGAGTCGAGCAGGAGCAACAGCAACAGCCGGAGCAACCGCTCGACTTTACAACTACCTCGAAGAGACCGAAATCTAGCTCGAGAACCTCGACGTTACCAGC